TTCACAGATCTGGCTTAAGAGAGTGACAGAACTGCCAATTTTTAAAGAATGGCACTTTTAACATTTCTGATGGATTTATTAATGCCTTTTGAGGGAGTAAGGGATATTATTAGGGGCTTTCTGTGCCCTGGCTTATGTTACTTTATCGTCTTAAATGGGCAAAAATGGGGTGGAGGAATTCTGCACACAAGTAACCTGAGTTTTGTGCTTATGATCCCCCGCCCCTTTTCCTTTGCCTGGTGTCAGGTCTTTTCTGTTGCATGGTATAAGCTTCTCAACAGAGATTAGGCATTTTGGTTTTTGTTTTGTAGGGAGGGGGAAAAAAAAACCCCAAACGCTGCACAAATATTTTAATTCTCTGTGACACGTTAAACCAGAGGAATTGCATTATCCTGGCTGGCTGGTAGCAGCAAGCTGTTTTGCCACCAAAATTATTTAGGTTGAACAGTCTTCCATCAGCAAGAGATGAAAGCTCAGTGAGTTTATTTTATGCTGGAACATTTTGTATGTTCTTGTCTGGTACGGAAGAGAAATATTATAGGGACCTGTATTTATTTATATAGCTCTTCTGAAAGTCTGAGAATAGTTTGTAAGTGCTAAATTAAGTATGAGGCAGGCAATTACATAATACTCACATTTTACCAATGGGGATAATCATAGTTCAGGAAGGTTAGCTGCACGAGACCACGTTAGCATCGTTAACAGAAGTAGAAAAAATGAGTCATAGCCCTAAGTCCCTTGCACTTATCTTCTGTATTATGGGTTTCAGGCACTTCAGCCTATGTTTGGCTGTAAGAGCAGAGAGGTTATGAAGTACACACTGGTTAAATAATTTCATTAACCCTGTTACCTCTGCTAGATTTCTCACCGTACTTACAATCTGTGCTCGTATGTCAATGCATTGATTGGCATTTTAAATTGAGTTGTATTGGGCCAAATTTCTTTTAAATCCTATTATAAAACTGTGGAACACAAAGTTAATATGATTAGGTAATGATATTCAGCATCAAATTGTTCTTAATAAAAGGTGTTTGGATTTGAACTCCTACATTTGTTCAATTTTAAGATATCAGTCTCTTTATATAGGCAAGCTTTTATCATAGAGTTTTAGGCAAGATATTTAAGAATATCGAATCAACTCAGAATGAACTATGCCAACATGTTGGGTCATGCTTTTAACTTGGCTCCAACAGCATAGTTTACAGAATTGCTTTGTGTACCACTGTACAGCGTGGGTCTTTGGTCAGCATCGCCCAGCGGCTTGGTGGTCTTATCAGCACTTCGAGCCATTTAAGGGAACATATGATTTTGAAATTGGGAAAGAACGGTCTATGTGAAAATCATTTTGTGTCCTTTTCTTTTTAAGGAAGCTGCTATGCAGCACTACTAGTAAATAAATAAATTTTGTCTTACCTGCATGGTCTCTCAGCAGCACTGTGTAGAACTGATGATACAGTACAAAACCATTCTGTTTACCTTTCTTGTTGTTACTTGATTATTCCCAATACTGCAGTGATAACAGTAATAGAGCATTTCATATGCAAACCCCTTGGGGTAGAGATTTGCAAACTTCTGGTGTTTGTTGCCAAGTTTATTTTTTACAACGCATTCTCACTTACTGCTGGTAGTACCAGCCCACATTGGAGTCTTTGCCAGTCCTTTTCCATTTTGTGCTGTAGGGCAACTTTCTAACATAATCAGACTTAAACTTGTCATTTGGTTTATTGTAAAGATTTACTTTTTATATGGCTTCTTGGTGTACCACGTGAAGGCACTCGCCTTTCTAATATTAACACTTTGTCAGATAGACTTTTATGAAAGGTGAGGATAATTATGCATTCTTGATCATAATTATTTAAAATAGCCAGTGTGACCTGAAACACTCTGAGTTTGGTCAGGTTGGCTAAGAACTTCCTTGCTGGGAGAGGGGTTGTATTACTGCCTGCAAGGAGCTTATTGACTCCAATGTTTTCTTAGTTTGTACTCTTCACTTTGCTACCAGATTTATCTAAAGTGTTGTGTTGTGTGATAGCATAATATAGGGGAATGTTATGCTAATAACACGATAGCATATGATAGCGTTACATATTGGGGAATGATTAGTTCATCTACTGCTCTTGTATATAGGTGTTACACAATTAAAAAAAGGTTTAGAGAACCTAATTTTATGACAGGGTCATTTGTAGTGGAGGTTGGGTTGTGCCATGGTTGGGGGACAGTATGCAAGTTGGGAGCTGGGAAAGAAAGTCGTCCTCTGTGTCTGCAAGGCTGGAAAGGTGGGTTTGGTACAGACAGATACAGACCTCGGGGGAACAAGTTTAACAAATACAGTGTGGAAAAAAGATTCTTGGGGTTTCTCAAGTTGGAGATGCGCAGTGGATAGGAGGCCTCCCAAGAGTTACCGCTATTTCCAAAGTGATACTGTGGCTAAGTAGAATTTAATTTCTTTGAGGGTACCTCAACTTGCATCTGAAACATGACTATTGTCCTGTCATGCTAGATATTCCTCAAATATGGATTTTCTTTTTATGTAATGCAACTTGAAACCAGTTAATAGTAATGATCAGTTACAACATTTGTTGACGCACTTTTCAGCCTTTTTGTACACCTTTTGTGCTTGCCTCCAACAAATTACTTGCATGCAGTGTTTTCTTCGTTTCTGATTTGGTGCTTAAGCCCTTAGTGTGAGACCTAGCTAGGCTGTAAAACTCTCCTTCAGCGGCTTGCTTATGCTTGTGGCGTTAACCTTTCTGCAGGGGGTTGTGCTGTTTATTTACAAAATTCCATTTTTCCAGTCACAAACAGAATATTATTAAGAGAGTCTTCTTTTTACCAATTAGGTCAAAGTCCTAAAATTTTAAGACCTAAACCACATGGTTTAGAGCGAACTGATTCACAAACCATAGGTGACTTTACTACAAGAAGAAAGGGTATGTACTTTAGCACTGTATGTATATGGAGCTTTGTAAAAATAAGTAAAACAAAAATTAAGAAAACTGTTATTCTAGAGTAACTTTAACTCTTGTATAGTCGTCTTATAATCTAAGATCATGGGTGCATTTTCCTTGCCAAGCAAAAAGTTTCCTATGTAAGGATTTAAAGTCCTTCTGGCTTGAACAGTGCATGGAAACATCTCCTTGACATTAACATGGGTGCTCTGATCTCTTAAGTTTTAGTTGTTTATATTTTGGATTTATTTTTGTCTGTTTATTTAGAAGCAAGTATAGACGACTTACCTGCAAGTTGCTTGAAATAACTTCTGTTAGGCAGTAACCTGAAATCAGAGTTTACTTGAGTCTCCTGCTGTTGGCTAAACACTAAAATAAAGCAAAGTATTGATCCTCTGACCATTTTACTAGTACAGAAAATTCATGTATGCATCTTAATGAGCATTGCAATTTGTCTGATGGGCTTTACTGAAGGTGCTGAGTTGGTATAGTCACAAGAAGTAGAGGAGAGTACAAATAATGTTAAAAATCTCACAGATCATTACCTTTGGTTGTTAAAGCCTGTTGCAACTGGATGAAATA